CATTCTTCCAGCATCTTTTCATTTGTTCTGCGTCTCACAAACGTTCTTCTTTGTGATCCAAACATCTAGAACTCCACACACTTTTTTTCCAGTCGTCCTCTGTCCAATGTCTGTGTTCTTTTGCCCATCTTAATCTTTTTCTTTTATTGGCCAGTCTCAGATATGGCTTTTTCTCTGCCCTGAAGCCCAGAATCCTGCTGCTGCCTCTTCACTGTAGATGTTGACACTCATGTTTTGTTGGTACTATTTAATGAGGATGCCAGTTGGGGACCTGTGAGGTGTCTGTTTCTCAAACTAGAGACTGTAATGTACTTATCTTCTTGCTCAGTTGTGCAACGCGGCCTCCCCCTTCTTTTTCTACTTGTGTTAGAGCCTGTTTGTGCTGTCCTCTGAAGGGAGTAGTATACACTGTTGTAGGAAATCTTCAATTTCTTAGCAATTTCTCGCATGGAATAGCCTTCATTTCTAAGAACAAGAATAGACTGTCGAGTTTCACATGAAAGTTCTCTTTTTCTGGCCATTATGAGCGTCTAATTGACCCCACAAATGTGATGCTCCAGAAACTCAATCTGCTTAAAGGAAGGTCAGTTTTGTATTTTCTGTTCTCTTTTCAGATGTGTGACCATGATTGCATAAGGGTTTTCTAATCATCAATTAGCCTTCTGAGCCAACGAGCAAACACATTGTACCATTAGAACACTTGGTGATAGTTGCTGGAAATTGGCCTCTACACACCTATGTAGATATTGCACCAAAAACCAGACATTTGCAGCTAGAATAGTCATTTACCACATCAGCAATGTATAGAGTGTATTTCTTTAAAGTTAAGACTAGTTTAAAGTTATCTTCATTGAAAAATACAGTGCTTTTCCTTTAAAAATAAGGACATTTCAACGTGACCCCAAACTTTTGAACGGTCATGTAAATAACCCTGTATATATACAGGGTTATTCAACAGGGTATTTACATGGTTATTTATATAGATGGATATTTATATACATAAAACTATTGCACTGGGTATCAAATATAAAGAAGCAGGTTATTGTACAGGGTATTAAATAGCAATTGCTCATAATACATCAGGTGAAGGTCTCAGACGTTTTTATGAGATTATTATTAGCAGAACAAACAGAGCCATAAAGACCAACCAACACACTATATAAATCACAGACAAAGTTGTAGAGGTTTGTAACAGAATTGGTTTATAGAACCAGTATGTCAAGCTTTAGATCTGACAAGTGAAAACCTACATAGATACTGGGTATCCATATAAACTGACAGCTCGGCCTAGGATAGTCCTGTCAAGAGGCAGTGAATGTCTGACCCTCGATAGACTATAGCCATCACGAAACAAGACATTAACCCTTTATAGGGCAGGTTACTGTTTTTGATCACTTGCATACCCCTTACATTGATATTATTTTTTTGCCATCAAAATATCCATATATTTTGAATGTTACAAAGGAAATAAAGTCTTTTCCTGGATTCCAAGTAACACTATTCGCCTGAAATTTTGATTTTCAAAGTATTTCACTCACTGCCCTATAAAGGGTTAAAGCATTTTTTTTTTCAGTAGAGGCAGAATCAACTTCAATTGGAAGATGTATGAAGCTAAAAACTCTTAATGATCAATGGCTCCACTTGAAAGTTTACAAATGTTCTCTTTCCAGTCCTACTGAGGTTGAACTATTTATCAAACAGTGATAAAGAAATTCTAGATATCTTAATATCTCAAAGTTGTAGCAAACGGTGGTGACAAGTGTGTAAAAGTTTGAAAGAAGTGAATGCTTCTTCAATTCTTTCCTCTACCCGATTTACCTCTGTTTACAGGAAAAAGTATTGTTTTATGGTTAAAAGTATTTTAAGCAATTAATAATCTGTGCTAAATTTCTTCAGCCTAAACACTTTGTGTCTAAACTTTCACCCTCCCTTTTTGGGGCAGGTTTCGCTTGGTGCAGAAAACAGGACAAGCGTGTACCGCTATTGCTTTTAGCCTCCGCAGGACAACAGAGTTTCTTGTAGCTCTGGCTGACTACAGCATCAAATGCTTCGACAAAGGTGAGATGAATTCCTGAATTTCCCACAATTCAGGAGTTCTGTCATTAAAATTATATTTCATACACCATATAAGTCCATGCTAATATCTTTTCTCTCTGTGTGTTTTAACTCAGACACCAAGCAGCTGGTGAGTTGGATGCGAGGTCATGAGGGAGCTGTTTCATCCATCTCCGTCCATAGCTCAGGCCGCTACGCCATCACAACATCATCAGACACAGCGCAGCTCTGGGACCTGGACACCTTCCAGAGGAAGAGGAAGCTGAACATCAGACAGTCTGTTGGCATACAGAAGGTAAATAAGCTGTTAGAGCACCTTTAAACCGTAGATCTTTAGTAGTTGTTTTCACAATTTATATTAAGCCTCAAAGAAATTTAAAATAAAAAATAAACGATGCATTTTGGTAATCCAATCTCAGAAATGTAATAATATTTTCCTTGTTGCATTGCATGAAATGTCCTGTTCTTCATCAGCTCTTTGTAAGATATCATCTTATAAAGTCGCCTTTAATTCAGATTCATATGAAAGGCCTTTGAGTTTAGATGTTCAGCTTCAAAAGTTATTTAGATCTATGTTTCTGCTGAGGATTTACTTATTCACTTCAAAACCATAAGTGGTATCAATGTTTACCTGGTTTTACTTGAAAGCCTGCATTGCAATCATCCTCAAATAATGTTTTAAATCTTTATGCATACTACCAGACATTCAGTGAAGTTAAGTCAAGTACTTGAAGTCAATGAATATTACAAATAAGACCCAATGTGGTCTTTAGACCAATTATATTTCATAATTAAGTTATATTGCATTATTCTAGGTAATTCAAGCAGACTAAGGTTATCATAAGAACTTACAACTCTTGTTTATCTGTGTGACATAAATGATACACAGTGTGATGCGAGGAGCTTTACAGGAGGAAGGTAGGAACACACAGGAGAAAAAAATCTGATGCATAAAAAAAAAAAAAAATCAAATGTGTTCAAAAATAATAGGATGCATTTACAGATTAAAAAAGAAACTTTAAAGTTATATTTAAATAATTAGAAATCTGATTAACTGCAGAAATGTCTAACGATTCTAGGTAACGTGCTGAGCAATTAAATATTTTCAGTCCTGTTTTAAAGGGGCGAACAGCTGCTGTGAATCTCAGGTTTTGAAGACGTTTGTACCTGAAGTGAGAAACGTGGTTTAAGTCCTAGGAACACTGAATGAAGAGGTCTCTGATGATCTGAGGGGTCTTCATTGTTTATATCTGTCCATTAAATGCTGACAAACAGGCAACTTTTGTTGGGACTTAAGGACTAGGTTGATTTGATTCATTTTTACGGCTTTTATTTAGTTTTCTGGTAGCAGCACAAACGGAAACCTGAACTGAATCCCTGACTTTTTTTTGTTGTTGTTTGTTTCAGTTTTCTTTAAGATTGGACTCGGACTCTGAGGTCAACAGCTCTGTATCTAAATCCTGTTCTTGTGTTTAGGTGTTTTTCCTTCCCCTCAGCAACACCATCCTCAGCTGTTTCAGTGATGACTCCATCTTTGCCTGGGAGAGCGACACCCTGTTCTGCAAATACCAGCTTCCCGTTCCTGACTCTGGACCCAGAATCTCTTATAAGGCCTTTGCTGTCACACGGTGGGTCCCTTACAGCTCCACCCGCTCCCGTATTGATTTTCTTGACTATTTTCTGAGTGTTCTCAGGGTTACGTTAAGGGTTTGTTAAGCTTCTGACGGGTTAGAAGCCATTAACCTGCCCCTACGTGTGTGTTGTGCTAACAGTAATGGTAAAAGCCTAGCTGCAGGCGGCCGCTCCAACCTGTTACACCTGTGGTGTTTGGAAAGCCAGCAGCTGGTCAGGGTGATCCAGATGCCAACTCAGGTCCGAAGTGTCAGGCAGCTGGAGTTCCTGTCTGACAGCTTTGATGGAGGAGCCAGTCAGGTATGAAAACAGAACCTGGATATTTTACAC